GAATTTCTTGTTGTTTGTTTTTAACTTGTGATGTGTCATTTTGTATAGCACTTTGAGCTGCATGAGTTGTATGAAAAGTGCTTTATATAAATAAAGCTTTATTATTATAAGACGGAGAGATAAGAAACATGTAACTGTATCCAACAAACAGCTTGTGTAAGCTTAAGTTTCTTGCTTGAGTGAGATTTTTTTTTTAGCTCTTTACGCCATTCTTATTGACCCAGTTTGTGCGGGATATCCTCTAACTGTGAGGGTCTCCTCTGTGTTTCCCAGCTATGGGGACAGTGTTGAGGGCAGTGGACGGGCTCACTGGAGGGCGGTGCCGCGGTGTACGGGCATCGTGCGGAGGCGGTGTGACCTGAGCAATGAGACGGGGGATCTGGAGCAGGGATACTATGCCAGAGTTCGTGCTGTGAGCCGGAGAGCATCCTCAACATGGGTCCGGACAACGAGGAGATTTGATCCATGGTCGGACAGTAAGTTTAAGTGTCAACATGTTAAAAAAAAAAGCAAGACATAAATACTTAAAACTAAAAAGTGAAGGGCTGATAACTTAGCTGATATTTCTACATCTTCCCAAAAGGTAATATGTTGCTCTATCTGTTTAGCTACTTTTGGCCCCCCTATGGTTTCTGTGGAAATCAAGGACAACAATGCCACCATCAATTTGAAGGGACCCATGAGATATCAGCCCAACGCCCCAATGGTTTCCATGGCATCAGTCTACCCCGACATGACTTACGAACTCTTCATCGAGGATAACCATCACGTACAGATAGTGAGTTAAAATATACAGCTTTTCCCGCCTTTCTGGCACCGACAGGTTGTTAAATCAAGCACACCTTAAATTGTATTGCACTGAATTGTCTTTTTCTGTTTGTTTTTAGCACCATTCTCAAGTGGTCTCAAGTTCGTACACATTTCGCAAGATGGAGTACGACACAAAGTACTGCTTTTCAGCCAGGGCAAGTTTATCTTCCATGCCAGCCCGATGTCTGCTCTCAGCACGGTACTGCATTACCACACCTAAAGGTACGACAGCCTGTGTGTGTGTGTGAGAGAATATTTTACGCCCTATTTGACAGGTAGAAAGGAATGTGACTAAACATGATACACAAGTGAAGCATAAATCATTGTGTGTGCCTGAAAAGCCTTTTTGATTATAGTCTGATATGATTAGTCTTGCTTTTGCTTGGTAATAATGAGTTTTACATTGTATACAATATGTTTTAATATTGCATGGTGTTGATATAGTATTACCTATATGTAGTTTTTAGTGTGTGTGTATTATTGTGACACGTTTCTGTTTCCCATCTCACTCCAGACCCAGTGATTGGCCATCTGCAGAGGGTAGTTGTGGGTATTGTTGTTCCATTTTTGTGCATGGGTATGCTGGTTGTGGTTGGCTACCTTCTCTATAACTACCTGTCGGGGAAAGGACAGCAGAGCCCGTATATACTGGTAATGAAAACACACACATTCACACTTTTACACTTATTGGCGATTTGAAATGTGATTTGTTAAAGGGTAAAAGGGAACATTGATTTTACACATGATGACCAGTTTACTTGTCATGATTACAGCTATATAAAGTCTTGTATGGCTTTGTTTAGTCTTAAAAAAGATCAGCTTGGCTTTGGCGACACTTTTAAGGTAGCGCCATGATGTTTTGAAATTTGAGCACCGAACTCATTTGAGTCTGTTATTGGTTTTAAATATACAGTTGTGACAATTGGGTGGCAATGAGATGACATTATCATTCAACCTCCAGAACCTGCCTACCTTTCATCAGCCCCCTCTGACGTTCCCCCCTGAGAATCCCAAACCCATCATCATCACCATCATCACCATCATCAAAGATCAACAACCAGAGAGCGGCACACCACACTCTGCATGCCCAAAGAAGCCGACGCCAGGATACGCCTCCCAGAGGCCCCAAACACCACCGGCACCCGAGGAACCCTGGGACGATTTGTCTGTCGACTATGGGTTTCTTGCCGCAGCTCCTAAAATTGAGATCAGAGGAGGGAATTGGAATGATCTGAGCTGCCCAGTAAGAGGCAGTTATGAGAAGAAAGAGTGCGACGTTGAAGATGACCACCCTCTGACTAATGCCCAGACAGAGATGAGCCCACTAATACAAGCGCATGCATGGTCACTGCCAGTGTTAACACCATTAGTGTCTGGTCAGGGAGCGTCTATGGGAGACGTGAAGGGAAAGGAGGAGGAAAGAGAGTTCCCAGGTTTATTAATAAGCACAATCCCACGAATAGGCTTCTTCCATATTCCTTTGAATCTATTGGCAAAGAAGGAGGGAGGGATGGGGGAGGAGATTAATGGAAATATGAGAGTGGGAACGGATGGAGAGATGGATGAAAGTGAGGTATTACCCCTTCTTTCTGCTTATGCCTCTCAGAAATCTATGCAGATCTCCCACTCTGACCAATCAGATGACTTACCAGATGACTATGGTGTTCTGATGATGAATACAGCACACAATATAGAAGAGGAGGAGGAGGATGAGGAGGGAAATCTTTGTATTGATTGGGATCCCCAGACCAGGAAACTTGTGTTGCCGGAGATAGCGATGGAGTTTAACAAAGAGGGAGTGTGGGATGGAATGATGCAGGGAGAAAAAGTGAGGGAGAACATGATTGGAGGAGAGGGAGAGGAGGAGACTGTGAATTTTAGGAATGGCGAGCTGAGGTTGGAAAATGTGTTTGTGAGACAAGGGTCTGAGGAAAAGGCTGAGTCACAGAGGGTGTTGGAGGCAGGCGGGGATGATTTTCTGACCGGATGGGGTTTGGTCATCTCGATGGACGAGTAGATGATATTCATCAATTGATTTACTCCATTACTATAAAGAAATATATGTTCTTCTTCTGCACCTATTATGTGCACTTAAATAGCATAACCTATGGGTTTTATTAAGAAAACTACAAAATCGAATTCTTAGGAACACTTAGTACTGTAGTCGTGTTACTTGTATACCTGTAAACGTTAATGTTGCTTTATTAAGTTTACTTTATGATTTGAACTTTATCAGATTAACGAATGATACTGATCAATGTGAATACTTATGAAGGAATTACACTTGGGCTTGATGCATGTACAAAGTCAAAGTCTTCTTGTAATACAAATATTACAAGATTTTGCAGAACGACCACATTTGAGATGTTTTTGTGAACAGATCGCAAATTCTTTGTGAGACTACATGCTTCACAAGTAGATGTTGGATGTTTGGATACTGTGACACAGTTTACTGCGGATAATCCATGACTATACATATCCTTGTTTACTTGTCATCGCTGTCTAGCAGTAGGAGGTGTGTTTAGTTTCATGTTTCAGGTATGTACCTTTTTAAGTTCCTGGGGCAGCACTTAAACTGTAGACACTTTGGAACAGTAGTTGTTTGTACTGTGTATTTCTGCTCAATTGGGCCGAATCATAATGTGATTAATTTCTCATTTTCTCTGTCTGGGATTGCGGTATTCCTTTTAATATAAATCCACTAGTACTGAATAATGTTATATGAAGGAAATACTGATGTTCAGAGGAAGAAGACAGTATCTACCTCTATGATTAATGTGTTCATATCGTTCATGATGAAGTCATAGAGAGCGCTTTACTCCTGATGTTTTGTTTTCGAATGTAGAGATGGTTTCATTTAAGAAAGAGTCTCTACCTGAACTAGAGTATGTGCCAAAATTATTTGTAAAAGAAGTCAACATAATTTTGAAATCATCAGTGTCTTTATCTCTTTAAACAACAAACTGTCTGCTGTGCAATATTACAGCGTTATCACTTTGTCATCTTGTTTTTTTTATATGCAACAATTTGTATGTTTGTTTGGAGCTGAGGTTTTAAGAAGCTTTGTGGAATATGTTATGCTGTCTTGCCTGCAAGTGATCATATTTCCTTACACTACTGGCTCTTCTGCATTCTATCAACAAGCTATGATTAAAGCACGGTGCATACTTTCACTTTGATAACCAGAAGAATGCTACATTGCTTGTTTCCCTTGTCATAGTGTGGGGGAACCTTACGGTCCTTTTATAATGTTGTTCCTCTTTCTCCTAATTGTTGTAACTGTTTTTACTCAAGGTGTTAAATGAAGGAAGCTTTGGGTTGGTCATCTCTACAAACCTGCATGTTTTCAAAGCCACAGTAAGCAGGAATTTTAAAACCCTACATTTAGTTTCACAACTCAGGTTTTTCTGCAATGTGATGACAAGTTTGATGCTGTGCATGAATTGTATACGTACAATGTTTTTCATAGAATTGTATGTCGCCAGACAGAATTATTGTATATTAAAATAAATTATATTAAAGTGAACAAGTTCTGCTCTGCTTTGTTTTTAGCATGAAATGCCTCTTATATTACAGTATATTCCTGACACCTGCCTTTTATAAGATTCAACAAGAGAATGAATAGAGACATCTGCTAGTCAAATCTTAAACTGTTTAGATATACTGTATTTTATATTAATCTAAATCTGCAAATGCAGAGGTGTAAAAAATCACGTATTGGCATCAAGAAAAAAAAGAAAAAAACCTTAGCATACCTTTTAGAATAATACTTTTCTAAAATGTATTTTTATTTATTCAATCACTGTAGTTTTGAAAATAAAAGTATGCATACCTTTAGAATAATATTTTTCTAAAATGTACTTCTATTTATTCCAGCACTGCTGCTAGTTTTGGTTCAAACTTGATGTAGTTTTGGGAGATGGTCAACACTAAAGTAAAGTGTCTTGTGGTCACTTAATAATGTTCTTATCTGTAAGATATATGAAACAAAAAAGATATCACATAAAAAAATATATAAATGTATTAACAGTATATAGATGTACCTTTAGGTGGCGCGCTATTGTTAAACTACGGCTCCTCCATCTCTCCTCATCGGTCATGGCGTCCCCATGCCAGGCTTCAGCTCTGCATCACTGGGCGGGGCCATGGAGGGTCGGACTGCCAGGCGTTGGGCACTTCCGCCGGGCTCGGGTTTCCTTCGACTCGGCATTTAAATTGAGCTGCAGGACATCAGCTGCGGCTACATTCAGCGCCGTGCTCTGACAGAAAATAACCCGCAGCATTAGCAAAACAGGCTACTCTTATTTTTTTACACGAAATAGACAGAAATACCTGATGGTCTGAGGAGGTTTGGGGTGTTTTGTGTGAAGAAGAGCGGGAGAGGTTAAACAATAACGGAGGCTGTGCTCTGACAGCAGCTCGGTGCATCATTTTTGGGATTCCTCTGCTAGCTGTTGGACGAAATTGAATAGCGGTAACGGGATGCTATGCTTGAGCGGAATTATTTAGGCTTTTTTGAGCAGTGTTTGTTTTCTAAAAGAGATTGGTAAACAAAGTTATTGAATGCAGTGTTTTTTTTTGGCCCAGGAGCAAAAGTGGCCTGGACTTGGATGACCCATGGACCTGATGATGAGAGTGCATTTGATGATTAAGGTTTAAATTCTGAAAAATATCCTACAATTTGGATATTTTCTTATCAGTTGAAGACATTTACCCGTACAAAATACAGGCCTGAAATAAATAACCTTCAACTGGGGTGGCTCAATATTATCAATAACAACAGTCACCACCCATTATTTAATCTATACATTTATTTTTCTTCTTTTTGGGGACATTTCCTGTTGAATACAACCAGGAAAAAAAGTAAATAAATTATTTTTTGTGTTTATGTCACGATTAATTATTTTTGTTTATTTTTTGACTCTCAACTAGGTTAGATCTTAGCTTCACTTTCTTTTTGTGTTATTTGTAAGGAAATCTCTACCCGCTCTTAAGAAGAGTGTTTGATCCCTCAAGGACATTTGTAGATCTGTCAGGTTAAACCTATAACCTGTCAGTCAACAAGAAAATAATCTGACACGAGTGACCAACAGCATCTTTGACCAGTTCAGCAGCCATGTTCAGCTGGCTTGGGAGCGACGACAGGAGGAAGAAGGATCCAGAAGTCTTTCAGACCGTGGGTGATGGACTGAAGAAGCTCTACAGAACCAAACTCCTGCCGCTGGAGGAGGCTTACAAGTTTCACGAGTTCCACTCCCCGGCCCTGGAGGATGCAGACTTTGACAACAAGCCTATGGTCCTACTGGTGGGACAGTACTCCACCGGCAAGACAAGCTTCATACGGTGAGATAAACAGCACAAACACCCATACAGGAATCACACAAAACACATAAGGTCACCAGAAAGATAGAGGTTGACACACCCTAACTGACTTTTTTCTGTCAGTTTGTCAAAAAGTGAGAAAGAAGGGGATGGAAAAAAATAATCAAAAACACAAGGAACAATAGGAAAGATCAGTCCTCACACACAAACGCTCTAACAGCCTAAAGAGCCACACCTCTGCAAGAGTAATTGAAACCATAACTTTGATATGACAGCTAATACATATGGAGGCAGCGCTGCCTGGCACTGGAGCCTCTCTCATGAGGTGTGTGTATATATATGTGTTATATGTGTATGATTACACCACACAAGGACATCTATCACATCACGGTGTATTCCTTGTACATGGTTTCTCAAAAAAACATCATCTGGTGGACATTAAAAACCCTTTTAGCCAAATAAAGCTTGTTACTTAGTCAAGAATCAAGCTATAAGCAGATGTTTTCTTGGTTATTACTAACTGATGTACGACAACATGTCATTGTCAGTCATTTCAAGAAGGATTTCAAAGACTAGGGGTAATATATATTGACACACTATTGTGTTGTAATATGACTTTTGTGATACTGTATTGATTTTTTCAAGAAATGTATGATTTTGACATTTCTTTTTAGTTTACATGCAAAGATGAAATCATTTAATACATTATTTCATTTGTAATTATATCCACCCTCTTATCGTACGTGCCCTGTCAAATTAGTGCTGTGATGTTGAATGTTACAGGGAAGTTAAGAAATGCAAATCTAAATACCAATGTTCAGATTGTATGTTTTCTCCAGGACAGTTTCCCTAAAATGTGATTTTACACCCTGTATAAAATTGCAAGATTCACGCTAGTACACTGCCCCATCAAATACACGCCTAATTTAACTTAAATTCAGATGAAGTATACTCTTCTTTAAAATAATGTTATATATTCAGAGTTGTGTGAAAACTCATGACTTGAATAGCCCGGTGTTGGTTTATGTGTGACAGCAGGAGATGTTAGCAGCTGGGTGTTGGGCCTCTTTTTGAACTGCAGGACCGCTACTAATGACTTGACACACACACACACGCACACACACAGGCACACACACACATTCTCTCTCTCTTGCAGAGCATAGTGGGTAATTAGTGGGGTTAGCCTTTGAACGCCAGAAAGAGGATGCTTTTAGTGACTTCCTGTTATAAGACAGTGCAGGCTGCTCTCTCTTCTTCCTCTCCTGTCTCTCACTGATGTCTCTCTCCCTCTTTTCACCAATTACAACCGCCAACAGTCAGCAGCCTAACCCCACGCCCCCGCCATTGTAACAGTAACATGCAGAATGTAAAGCTGTTGAGTAACCCTCGCTCAGCAGCATCTCCGGGTGTCACACTCTGGATGTTGGAGCACTGCAGGTCTTTGAACCGTAACGTTTAGAATAATGTTTAGTTATGTCAGTTACAGCTTGATGTAGTTAATAAATGTGAATGGATGGAGGGACAAGAGAGAATATAGTCTCTCTTCTTCTGTGGTCATTCAGAGGCCAGTAATCTGAGCCTGTCTTAATTTTAGGAATGAGATTTATTGATTTTCCACTTGTTTCCCAAATGTTACTTTGAGTCTTTCGAGGATTCCAAGTTTTCCTTTAAGCTGATTTCCAAAGTGCCTCAATGCTTTTTTAACCTCATAGTCTAATACATTAGGGTTGTGAAACCAGCACCTGTGAATCTTCAGTTTTATCTCACTGACAGCTTGCTGCAATGAATGTGAGAAATGTAATGCACACACAGTACGTACTGTATACATGAAATGGAACATCCAACTGCACAGCCTCCCCACAGACACATTAAACAGACAAGAGTGCAGAGAGATGGCTCTACCAGGCACTGTGCCGACTGCTCTGACAAGGTGTGTGTGAGTGTATTTGTGGAGAATGAGATGTGTAAGGGGAACCATCCTTACATCTGGTAGCTGTTAAGATGCACACACATCCCACACTCGCACTTTAAATGTATGGTCTGTTTTTAGCCGTAAATCTTTTTCCTAAATCTCTTTATGGCCTTCGCTCACAATGTTGGGGTTGTGAAACTCAGCAGAAAACACACTAATCTTCATTTGTAACATGTGTGATGACACTGAATTAACAGATGAGCATGCAACCTTTCACACCTAAAACACATGAGATGCAAGTAAGCTGTGCCATAGGAACACTTACAGATGAGGTCAAAAGTTTGCAGCAGTTTTCAAACAGTTGAACATAAACCTTGTTTGCAACATAAACATATTCACAATTTTGAGTTTTTTTTGTTGTTGTTGTAATGGTCTCCTGAAAAATGTGTCCGGTCAAAATCATACATACATAAACTCTATGTTTAATTGTCTGTCCCTTACCCTTTTGACCTAAGTCAGCTGTTTTGCTAAGTGCCTGGTAAGGCTCAACCAAATTCTTGTTCAGATGTGTCTTCCTACACCAGTCTTAATGTTCTAGAACTTGAATTATTTAGCAACCGCAAAACTAGTTTGACATTTTCAAGGTAATCCTCCTTTTGGGAAATCTTAAATGAGTCCAAGATGTACAGCTCTGCCTGATGGCTATGCTTGTTTCTTCATTATTATGTCAAATTTGATCTGTTATCATCAGCATGTCTGTCCCAACGTGTGATGAGAGTAGTCCTCATGCTCACCTGCAAATGTACTTATCTACTTTTGGCCCAATACCTTCTATCTGTGTCTCAATGAACTAAATAGCAACAAACTCAGATCAAACGTCATGCTGCTGAGTTCGAGCAGTGTCTCCTTTCGTGCTCCGCAGCTATCCAGCTCATAATGATGTAAAATTCCCCTAATGCTTGTTCCAGCAGATTCTAATTCAAGGCAGACCTGTGTCCTGGTGAATTTTGAGTTTTTTCTTTGACCATACAGTCTAAAAAGTCTTGCAGAACTTCTTTCAAATTAGAGCCCGCTGGTCTATCACACATCAGCTGCCTACAGTTTACTGTAAGGCCAGTTACAAATGGTGGAAGTCGAAAACTACCCCTTGGTTGGAGAAACCCGTTGACAGTAATGTCTTATGAAGTGGTATCAATCTCTTGTAACTCATTCTCAGAATCGGTTATTGGTCTAACGAAGATTTAGTTTCTGGGGCAACGGCTAATATATCCTGGGCAAGACTTCCTCTTCGTCGGTCTTTGTTAACAGTCCGATTAGCAACTTTAAGACAAAAGAGTTGAGAGTGGGCACCTAGGACATCACTTTATTACATGTATGCAATCTTTTTTTGTAGCTGACAAAAAGCTTAATTATTGTCAGACAATAGCTGATTGGTTTAGAACAGGGGTGTCCAAACTTTTTTCACAAGGGCCACATACAGAAAAATATACGAAGGGCTGGGCAACTTATAGCGGTGAGGTATATTGCCTCGTAAGTGAAGTTATAAGTTAGCAAAATGTAGGTAAATTAGGCTCAATACATGAATAGGCTTTAAGAAAAAAACAGCCTCCATCACAGCTCTCTATAGGGTTTCATTTATCATGTTGGCAGCTCATCCCTTAAAACAGAGGCCTCAGATTGATTATAATAAGGAGAAATAGGAAAGGTGTATTTCAAGCTTGTTATGTAAATAAATCATTGGGCTTTTTTCTTATCAACTAAGATATGTTAGAACATTTTCCAACTTTAATTAACTGAATTTATTTTAAAAGTGGGCTTATTAGCACATGAATATATATTTTTACATTTATATTTAAGAAGTGCAATATAAGACAAACACAAGTTTCATTTGTGGACCATATTCCATTGTACTTTTTGGATTTGCTGAGGGCCGATTCAAAATGGCCCGTGGGCCGCATTTGGCCCCCGGGCCGTAGTTTGGACAACCCTGGTTTAGAGACTGCCTTTTTAGCCAATGCGTTCATGATTGGTCAATACTATTTGGACTACTATTCAGCATTCATACACAGATATCCGTTTATAGAGATTACCTGAAGATTGGCGCTAAGCTATGCTAGCTGCACAAGGCCCTCTGCTCATGGTCTCAGATGGCATCTTCTGTAAAAATGGTTTTATAGAAAAAAATAACATATCTTCTCTCCCCTTGTTTTGTGTAACGCTATGTCATATAATATCTCACCCACAGCTACCTGTTGGAGCAGGATTTCCCCGGTATGCGTATCGGCCCAGAACCCACCACAGATTCCTTCATCGCGGTGATGCACGGCGACAACGAAGGAGTCATCCCGGGAAACGCTTTGGTGGTTGACCCCAAGAAGCCCTTCAGAAAGCTCAACGCATTTGGAAACGCATTCCTCAACAGGTAAACACCCTTTCACAAAGTGATAGATGACATGCTGTCAGATTTCTGTGGGTGTGTGTTTGTGTGTACTGGAAACACAAAGTTGTATATCAAGGTAAAGTATGTGGCTGTAGGGGTGGGGAGGAGGAGGAGGGGGGGGTAGAAAAAGAAAGGGAGAGTGAGAGCCCTGCTGAGAATCCACACCACTGCTCTACATTCCTGGGTGATTGAATTTCTCTCTGCTCACTGGTCAAGCCTTTAATGGGTGTGTGTGTGTGTGTGTGTGTGTGTGTGTGTGTGTGTGTGTGTGTGTGTGTGTGTGTGTGTGTGTGTGTGTGTGTGTCCAGATGACGAGTCAGGCTATAGCTGCCTGTATAGATGTCCTTATGGAGGTATTGTAGATGATAAACCTTGGTAACAGCCAGCTGCAAAAAGGCTATAGGCTAAAGTGATACTTTGAAGAATTAATAGACTGTTACATGTTCTTCAACAGAAACTTGTCACATGATTTGGGGAAAAAAAATATAAATATGACGTATATGTTTAGCTTGTTTGTTATAAATTGAATACTTTAGTCAGATTTGTCCAATGTACCCGTTCAGCCAGTGTCTGTTTCCTTAATGTTTTCCCAGAGTAAGGTATTTTCAACAGAGGACGAATCATAGTTATTTTTTTGTTCTTTGAATATCTTAATATCGAAACAATCTATTTTTGTGACTTTTTTTGAATAATTGTAAACTGCACAGGAGGAATCCTTACGTTGCTGGCCCCTTGTGAATAAAAACAACATTTACATTCAAAAGAATACATTTTTTGATGACAAATGTTCCTCGTAAGTCCTTACAATTTGATCAAATTGATATTCCCATACCATGACTCTATAGCTATCCTCAGGCCCAAATATTAGCTTTGTACAAAAGTTATCCCAAACTGATCAAATGTGCTGTAGGTATGCACAAGCCCCCCAAATCAAAGTAAATTGTTTAATTGTGATCCCCTGTAGATAACTCTACCACCACTGTTAAGGCGTTAAGAAGGACAATCTTTATCTTTCACACTGTGACGAACATCGCGATCAATCGTGGAACCTAATATTGTTCCCCACATCATGTGAAAAGTGCTTCCTGTGAAAAACAATTCCACTATAATTCAAAATATCGAGAAACTATCTCACATTCTTAACCCTGCGTATCTTTGCTCAAGCAGCAGTGTGTCCTCTATCTAATCTCAGCTGTGTTTATACAGGACAGAAAGACACAGCTCAAACACATTTACATGTTTTAAATACTTATTGCTACAGCTGCCAAATGTTTGCTCACATCCCAGGGAGGAAATATCAAACACTCAACATTAATTTGTTCTGAAAGATCACTGGTAAAAGAGCCTTTGAGGCATCATGTCAGCAATACCATTTAACACTGGAATAAATACACATTAGAAATCATTCAAATGGAGTTTAAATGATTCCTTTACTGGGAGGAGCAGCAGTAGCAATAGCAGCAGTAGAGTATGTATAATGTGGGATTTGTATCATCTCTGTTTAGCGAGACTGCCTCCTTGTGAAGGTGATTTAGATTCAAAGCGATAACAAACACAGAGCTTGAAGATTTAGTCTGTTATTTAAAATGGAGAACCTGTTCTTCAGAAAACCAATTTCTCATTCACTGTATTAACATAAAGCTTCTTCCTACTATCATTGGACAGCAAATGCGCCTTCGTTGCTGTCCCATAACCTCAGCTGGTTCACATTGACGTGTCCTTCAGCGTTTGGTTGGAAAAACTTTAGCTCACTAATCCTTCGTTCTGCCCCTTGTTCTTTGTTCTCCTCTCATATACTGTGGAATTTCTCCAGGTTCAAGTCTGTTGTGTCCTTGAGTAGGACACAAAGTTAAAGGAGGAAATGATGTACTCCTGCTGACAGACTTAATCATTGATTAATTTACTCCTGCATAACGGAGGCATTCACTTATTCATTCCCTCATTACTCTCACTATTAGATTTCCCATTAAAAAAACAGAGCCAGAAGAGACCGTGACATATTGTTGTTTTAGTTTCTTCTTTCATTTTGTTTGGTTTTAAGGAGCCTCTTAGTTGATCTTTGGCAGAACTGCATCCATCTGTAAACAGTCTTTTCTCAGCATGTTGTAATATGGGCGTTCTTTGTAATGCCTCCTCTATGACCTGAAGCCATTGTAATGGTTTACTTATTATTGCAACATCACAAACTTGTGTACCGCAAAATGAATTCAAATGACTCTCTTAATGCTATTTGGACACTGTTATGGGATTGGAGCAAAGAAACAGGAAGTAGAAGAAAACACCATTAATCACCTCTCTTTTTCACATTCTTTTTTCCCCCAAATCTTTATTTAACCCTTGTTTTGGGTCCTCATCCTCCTTATCCCTGCAGGCTATGACTTTGCGGCTGTCTTGGAGTGGTTTGCAGAGCGAGTGGACAGGATCATTTTGCTGTTTGACGCCCACAAACTGGACATCTCTGACGAGTTCTCAGACGTGATAAAGGCCCTGAAGAACCATGAGGACAAGATCAGGTACTGAAGGGTGGCTTAACTTACAGATATATCTAATTCTAGTGCAGATATATGCACATAGCGGCTCTCATTGTAAATGAATATCAACATTATAGGTCATCTATGCAATGTTACTGTTTGGTTAACTTGAACACTGTGCTCTCTTACCTTTTCTTTTGCCAGGGTCGTGCTGAACAAGGCCGACCAGATAGAGACACAGCAGTTGATGAGAGTGTATGGAGCCCTAATGTGGTCACTGGGGAAAATAGTCAACACCCCTGAGGTAATCAAAGCAGGAATTGTAAAAATGAATCAATGGATTTCAAGTTTTCCAGAAGTTTAAAGTGCTCAGTTATCTTTTCTGGTGTTGTCATCAGAGAGAAATCTGGTTTAACCCTTTTAATGGCATATATGTAACATTTCCGCATTAAATTATGTAAAAATAACAACAACCCCCATCATCTTAAACTCCATTATATCAGCATCAAAGTTTGTCTTCTGATATTGTTTCAGTCGTGAGTTCCCTTGTGGCAAACATACTGAGCTTAGCTGGTTTTATTTTTGAGTTGGTGAAGTCTAGTTGTTATCTAAAGATCAATGTGTTTTTGTTTCTATATATGGTGATATCTGTTTGATTGGGCCTTTTTACCTCTTCTTTCTCCCTCAACAACAGGTGATCCGCGTCTACATCGGGTCATTTTGGTCCCATCCTCTGTTGATCCCGGACAACAGGAAGCTGTTCGAAGCGGAAGAGCAGGACTTATTTAAAGACATTCAGTCTTTACCGAGAAATGCAGCGCTTAGAAAACTCAACGATCTGATCAAGAGGGCAAGACTAGCCAAGGTAAGGCAGAAGTTAAGAAAGTGTGTGTGTGTGTGTGTGTGTGTGTGTGTGTGTGTGTGTGTGTGTGTGTGTGTGTGTGTGTGTGTGTGTGTGTGTGTGTGTGTGTGTGTGTGTGTGTGTGTGTGTGTGTGTGTGTGTGTTGTGTGTTTTTTCCTTGTCTTCTTCCCATCACTCAGTCCCCTCCCCGTCCAGTCCAGCTGTTAACCTTGACAGAAAAAGTGTGTTGCTGTCACAGAACCAGACTTATTTGGCTTCTCTCCTCTCTGAGTAAATTGTTTCCTGTTTCCTCACCGGACAGGAAGTCAGGTATAAGAGGCGACAGTTCGCTGCCCGTTGTAGTTCAAGGAAAACGCAGAGGATGTATGCGTGCACACACTGAAACACACACTGAAACAGATGTATCTAACTGACAGTGCAGCGCAGCTTTCCTGTTTGACAGCTTATAGGGTGCGTGCATGTTTTTGGGATTTGCTTCAAGGACACAAGGTGGATTCAAGGAAACACACCCCTGTCACCACAGCAACATAACACATATGGGTTTCTCCATTCATTTTGCTATGTTTGTTTTCTTTGGTTATCATCCTAAAGAGTTTTATCTAATCAGGCCAAAGAAACTGAAATCTTGAGGTTTTTAAACTTTAAATATTCTAAATCTAAGAGGCAAACTTGTTGTCTTAGTAAGTGTTGTTGTTAAGTAAATGATCATCTATCCCTTTTACAATAAAGGTCCATGCCTACATCATCAGCGCTCTGAAGAAAGACATGCCCGCTGTGTTCGGAAAGGAGAACAAGAAGAAGGAACTGATTGGCAGTCTGGGAGATATTTACAAACGCATTGAAAGAGAGCATCAGATATCACCGGGAGATTTCCCTAATCTGAAGAAGATGCAGGTAAAGAGACAAAGGAATGCAGATTTATAAATGTTGGTTTGGATAGATTTGGATCTAAACTTGTGGTTTGTCTTTTGTTTTGCCAGGACCTACTCCAATCTCAGGATCTCAACAAATTCCAGCCTCTGAAACCCAAACTCCTGGAGGCAGTGGACGACATGCTGAGCCACGACATCGCCGGCTTAATGGTTCTGGTCCGCCAGGAAGAAAACCAGCGTCCCAAACCCGTTGTGAAAGGTGGAGCGTTTGACGGCACTTTGGACGGCCCGTTTGGCCACGGGTACGGAGAAGGAGCCGGCGAAGGCATCGACGACGCAGAGTGGGTGGTCGTACGAGACAAACCCGCCTACGACGAGATCTTCTACACGTTGTCTCCCGTCAACGGAAAGGTGACGGGTGCCAACGCCAAGAGGGAGATGGTGAAGTCAAAACTGCCCAACACGGTGCTGGGAAAGATCTGGAAGCTGGCAGACATCGATAAGGACGGGATGCTTGACGATGAGGAGTTTGCGTTGGCCAATCACCTGATCAAAGTGAAACTGGAGGGACACGAACTGCCATCGGACCTGCCCGCACACCTGGTGCCGCCCTCCAAGAGGAAAATATCTGAGTAAATGTACGATTACATCATTCCCTGCACCAATGACCTGTAAGTAGACCCATCCCCTCCACCCAGAGAAAAGTATCAAAGTAGAATAGAAATATTCCTGTAGCATTATAGCAAAAATGTTTTAACAAAATTAAACCACGTTTCCAACTCACAATGTTGCTCTGCTGCTGCCCTCCCCACATGGGCAGACTTTCATTAGCTTCAAGAGGCAAATAATAAAGCTAAATATTCAGTTACATTCAAATAATGAACATGAATGCCAATCAGCTATTAGCATGTGAATTCAAATGCTACATGTCTGCAGTGTTGCAATAGCTTTTACCATGGTAGAAAATCTGGATCGTAATGAGTTCTCCCATTTAAGTATTTGGCTTTTAAGGGTGAGATATCTGGAACTGATAGGCAGGACAGGTGTTAGAGTGAGAGCAAAGTTTGAAAAATATATGAAAGGATATTAAAAGTCTAAAGTAAGAAACACTGGAATACAACTTAATGTAAGGTAATCCAAACTACTGGAGGAAAATGGGAGAAATACGCAACAATGTGAAGACGAAAAGAGAGTTGGAAGGATCATTCCACGGCATGTAAAAATGCAAATTATTATTGTATGTATGGTAATGAATACAGATATCTCATGTTTGAGTGCAAAGTTCCCTTATCTCATGGTATTGTTCAGTCTTGAGGCGCGGCTGAGTTTTCTGGCTTTTGTTTCATGGCGCAGATTAAAAAGGCTCCAAGGAATATCTGGCAATTGCTTGAGATACAAAAATGTGTAGAAGCACACACACACACACACACAAGGAAAAATAACACAATTCTCATGAATTGTGTCCAGAGCAGGGAAAATTACCTACAAACATTTGTTTTGTTATTTTAAATGTGATATGCAGATGTTGATATTTGTGTAAACCATTTTACTGTAGCACATAGATTTTTTTTTTCTTCCAATGGGGACAAAAACTAAGGATAACCATTAGTTTGTTTCTTTTATGATTTTAGATCTAAATATGAACATGTTTGGAATACTGTGACTATAACATGGAACTATATAATGAGTATTGTTTCAAGTATTCAGACATACTCAGTAAAATGTTATTGTAAGGACTTTGAATGTTGAATGTGAAGGCGTTCTTGGTTCTGTGTGGGCACATCCTGAGTGACTATTGAATGACCATATGTATCACTGTCATCATTTGTAACGTATTAAGCATTTCACAGGTTATTGAGCTGTGAGTGGATTGTTGATTGAAAATGGATGAATATGTTATTGTTCACATTGTAAACTATTATAAAGAGAGAAAACACACAGCTGTTCTTTTGTGATGATAAAAAAAAAACACTACTTTAAATGTTTTTAAATGAAATTTGGCTTTTCATTTAATGTCCAAATTGTATACATCTAATTGGATTTACTGTATTCCAGTATGTATGTAAAATTACTAACATTAGGAACTTGTTTGTGGTTAATCATAACATTAGACCAACTAAACTTGGGTTCCCATATAATAAGAAATAATCACTTTGTGTTTTACGAGTGAGTTTGAGTTCCAGAATGATATATTTCTGTGCCCCTCCCTCTCCGTGTGTCTCTGTGCCGTTACTGTGAATCTACTGTACATACTAAGGCTGTTTGCATTCCATGAACACAGATTGAGGAACACAATCCTCATCATCTCGAGTGCTTTATGCATCACTTGCTCATATTTCACAGCTCAGATCAACAAAGTAAATATAAAAAAGGGTTATTGTTGAATGTGGATTCTCTGCATGACAAAGTCCTTGAAATTCACAAGTTGTTTTCATACCCTGACAGATTGCAACATGAAGTGGAGACAAAGGGGATAGTTTTTTTTTCAGTTTTAAGATGGGTATGCATTTGCTAAATCTGTATTTCACTGCTATTCTGTACATGAACAGTCCAAAAATGTAATAAAATTCATTTACTCAACTTTCTGTGTCTTATTTGGTTTGTGTTAGGATGAGCAATCTGAGCGGTTAGTGGCATTATTTTAAGAAAGAAAAAAAATCCTACCTACATTTTTGTATATATAACTGAGCTGCTTTATCCAAGTCAGCCATGAGAAAAATAATGCAAATAGATGCAGCACATTTTTCTTTGAATAGGCGGTGAGAATAATAACCACTTCGCCAACTGTTTAAGATTCTTATTTTGGGAATTTGTCTTTTCCAGTCTGACAGGTAAAAAAGGGACTGATGATGGAAATTAAGATGATATATTAAAAGTGGGGTAGGTAAGTTTGAGAAACCGGGTCGAGATACACTTTTTGTTATATTCCATGGAATGCTCTTAACATCCCGATAGCAATGAATATCTTAAGTGCTTTGACAAAAAAATCCATGAACAAATGTCATCTGTGGAAGCCGTAGTACTGTAAAAAGCACGACCAATCATTTTAGTAACTGTAAAGTAACTGGATGGCCTACCTGCCTGTCTATGGAATGCCATTTAAGCCAAAATTAAATAAATACATAAATAATTAAATAAATACATATATATATAAATATGCCTATGAAATAAATTCTGAAATAAATAAATGAGGCAATAAATATGTATACATGTACATTTAAATACACATTTATTTATTTCATGGGACTTTTATTTCATAATGAGACATTTATTTCAAGAGACTTTTATTTCATAATGACACATTTATTTATTTCAAGAGAATCGTATTTCATAATGACATATTTATTTATTTCAGATGACTTGTATTTCATAATGACGCATTATTTATTTCAGGTGACTTGTATT